CTCAACACAGGACTTAACAGTCGCTAACTATAGCCAAAGAGAGTTAGCGAGAGAGAGAGAGAGAGAGAGATCTTTCACACAATATTTAATGGCATTTATTGATTGAAAGAATAGATTCGCGAAACAGAGAGAAAGAAAAAGAACTAATTAATCATTCAAAGCGACAAATGACGAGAATTTGTGCTTATTTTATAAATTTTATAAGAAATATATTATTTTTAAAGTATGTATAAAATGCCAAACAATTTTGTTTTTAAGGAATTGTGAACTGATGTGTGATATGGCTCTCAATATAACGTATATTGCTATACATTACACGAATCGTCAGTTTGTGTATTAAAAATTGAGTTTTATTTTCTAAAGATATAAATATGAATGAGTGGGAGAGGGGATGAAAATCTGGCATTTAATATATAATACTGAAAATGCTAGGAATAGCTGAATATTATGGTAAAACTAAATTGTATTTATTTGGCTATGAATATATGAAATTGAAAAAACCAATTATTATATAATTTTGTGTATCAAATCAAAAACGCAGGTTTTTGTAGGTTTTCTATGTTTTGCATATTTATCGGATATAAAGTTTTATAAAAATTACAAGAAACAAGAAATACAGCAAAACATTCAATGATTCACTTCATGTGATAACAAAAGTGAAAAACAAAGAATATTCGCATTATATTCAACATTATATTTGTTGCAAATAAAAGTGAACAGAAAAATATGTATATTTCAAAAACCTTGCGATATTTAATCATTCAATAACTTTCACTCTTATTTCTGAAACACTAAAAACAATTTAATTAATTTTTTAAATACAAAATTTTAAATGAAATGAAAACCAATATAAAAAGTTTAATAACTAGTGCTGTACTAAATGCAAGTCAATGCTGTTTATTATCATTGACGTTGACATCAGTTCCACAACACAAACAACAAGAAGTCTTAATCTTTATTTTAAAAGACAAAATGTAATCCAATCACTGGTTTTTTGGCGGACTTAACGTCTAACAAGTGATTGCATTCACACTTGTTTTTTAATATCGATTTTCACTGAGAGATTAACTTAAAAGAAACTGATGTATAAAATAACTAAACAGAAAATAACTATTTCTCACGAAATGTGCGGAAAAAATATTTCACCAAAAGTAAAATTAGGGCAGAGATTCATAAGATAATAAATTATGATATGTTTTGCGAGCAATAAATCTATATTATTGTCACTTTAAAACTTATTAATCCTTATATAAACAATTATATATGTGGTATGAATTACATTGTTTTTAATAACAAAAAAACATGTTCAAAATTAATTTAATATTTCATATAAAACATATATTGTATACTTTTAGGGCCAGTAGTGACGGGAGTGGTGGGCCGGACAATGCCTCGGTATTGTCTATTTGGTATGTAATACCCATTTATCACATATAATGATATTATTTGATATATCGTATTATTTACACAAAAAAGACTAATGCATAACTCAAAGAAAGCCCTAAATTGCACGATAAATAACTAAATGACAAGAAATAAGTATATATTTAATAGAAAAGAGATTTAATTTGACATTCAATAAAGAAAGAGTAAATTCTTTGAGATTTAAGTGAGATCTGAAAGCAGCGGTCTAGTACACCATGGTGTAGTGGACCACATGTTGCTTAAAATGCGATAATAAAATTCTAATACTACTTATAAAATCATTACCAAAACCGTTACGTTAAGCCAATTAATGCATCCGTAAAACGATTAAAGATTGAGACAAATAACATGTATATTGTATTATTTTTTTCAGGCGATACCGTCAACACCGCCTCCAGAATGGAAAGTAATGGTCAGTACAAGACATTTGTTTTTCTTATAATATACACTAAAACAGCTTAAAGAAAGCAATATAACAATCTATTTAATAGATTATTGCAGTTCTGTTATAGAGAGTATAGGTTGTAGTGAAAGCTATTACTTTATGCAACAGATAATAAAACCATGATAAATAAATTTTTACACAAAGAATAATATATAGAATTCTTATGAAATGAAATTTAGGGGAAGCGTTGAAAATCCACATCAGCTCTGAATGCAGAGACTATTTGGTGAAATTAGGCGGTTATCTGATAGAAGAGAGGGGTTTAGTGCCGATGAAGGGCAAGGGTCAGGTGCGGACCTATTGGCTGTTGTCTCACACTCAGGGACAGATGCATCGGCGGGAGTCGGCACCGGACGACTTCCTTCAGGTGCCAAACTATGTCATATACTCATCAAACGAAACCAATAAGAAGCGCAACGCCGTCACCGGCGGTGGTTTTCTGCCCCGAAAGGGTTCGCTCATTGGCTTCAAAGGCAACAAAGGCGGCGACGGATCCAATCTTCATCTGTCGACCACACGATTGCCGGCATTCAGTCGCCTGAAAGGACTGGCCTCTAACGGCTCACTCCGGACGGCGTCGGCCAACAGTCCGAAGCTAATGAAGAAAACGTTTCCATTCCTACGCCAAAGCAAACTAGTATTGAAGGACCAAATGTGTGACAACACTAACGATATCATCAATATATCATCAAACGAATCGCAAATCCATTCCAAGCCTCCACTCAAGACTTCCACAACATTTTACATCAAATCGACGGAATGTTTGAATGAGAATAACGTTCAGTTCATAACAGATACAAACCATAAGGACATCAATTATATGACAGACAGTAAACACGAGTTGTCGATACCGTTATTGGCTAATCATCACAATAATCATCACAACCATAACCACATCAACGGAACAAATCAGTTGCCGATCGCTGATCACAACATTAGTGTAGACATCGGCTCATGTGATCGGAAGGAGAGTCGGGTTCCGCTTCTCAGCTCTCTTTCCAAACTTAATAATATTGTTATCTCTAAGAAGTGGAACTCGTGTTCACAATTGGATTCCAACCGTAAGACAGGCAAGAGATCGGTGACAGAAAGGAGGGGCCATAACAGCAGCGATAACTCAACGAACGGTGCGATCAGTGGCCAAAAGTTTGATATGAGTGTAAAGGACTGGTCAAAGATTAGTCTAATTGATTGCAATCATTTGAGTGGTGCAGAAGAGGACACCACAGACTTTGCGATCGACAAAACCGTTCAAAACAAGAGCAGAAACTCTAATGAAGATGTCTTGAAACGGCGTCCGAGTAATTGTCAACTAATTTTCAAGTCTATGAATGACTGCGAGCTTAAAGTCGAGAGTTCTGTTTGAAGACAATTGGGTTTCTCTGAAGAACATACGGCACAACCTATTTATAAATATACATATATGGGAACCATTGATCTCCCCTATCATCGGACACCATAGCCGCTGATGGCGAGA